TGAAGGCGGCCCCACCCACCACTGCTAGGATCCTATTGGGTTTTTTGGTATTTTACTGCGTTTGTGGTTCCTGTGATAGCTGGGAAATGTCAACGTGAAATCTGTTTGCCAAGTCAATATGCTTTCAGGGGCTGATGGGACCCGCTGTCCTCTGTTGCTCTGAAAACGGAAGCCGTTTATTATTGCCTATTTAGATTCCTTGCCTTTTGGCTCAAGCTACATTTCATTTGCATGTGATGAACCTCTGTCTGTATGCAGGGCCTTTGTTCCTCTTCCTCTTTAAACTCTATTTCCCCTTTTATTAATAGTTGGGAAATCAAATAGCTCTGCCCTCCCTTTCTCTGCAAGCCTCAATCAGAATTTAATTTTGTTTTTGTTTTTTTCATGGCAATACTGGGGTTGAACCCAGGGCCTGCCAAATGAGTTGCATCCCCCGCCTGTTTGCTTTTTTATGTTGAGACAGTGTCTTGCTAAGTCACCAAGCTGCCCATACTGATCTTAAACTTGCAATCCTCCTGCCTCAAGGCCCTAGAGCACTAGGATTACAGGGTTGGGCCCCCAATCTACTGTCCCAGAAATAGCCTGCTTCTTCCCACAGAAATTGCTCTCTGGGATGGGGCAGACCAAGCACAGGAAGAGAGGCCGATCTAACCTGCATTTCCTGTTGGAGGTCTTCTCTTTCCAAAGCACAGCTTTGGTGCAAAACGTTGTCAGGCAGACAGCTTAGCGTATCAGGTGATGCCCTGCTGGAACCTGAATTGACCCTAGGTTTAGGGCAGTGAAGACTTTTGGACATAGGTAAATGGTCCTGTGAAGCTCTTATCTGTGTCCTCAGTCTTCAGGAGGGATGAGACAGGCTGAGTAAGAAGCTAAGAAGCCTCCTTTCGCTGACTTTTCCTAAATGACTCGCACAACTAGATGGAAAGTTTTAAGGTTATAAATGATATGAAATGAAGGTCAAGCTTTGTTCTACTTTAGTTATTTATTGGGCATTTGTAGGCCCAAGTGAAAAATCACAATTAGTAGCCAAACCACTTTTAAGTCCCTGACTGCCTCAGAAGAAAACATAAATCGTGCTTTTAATTAGTTAACAGGGCAAGTCCCCAGGAGCTTATTTGTTCTCTTTCTCTCTCCCCATAGCGGCATCTAAGGGTTTCAAGTTGAATTGGAGCCCCCAAAATGTGTACCCATCCAGAACACTGGAATGGGACCTTATTTGTAAATAGGTTCTGTGTAAGTCTAATTAAAATAGGGCTCAGGAGGAGATCAGAGTGGATTAGGGTGGGTGCCAAGTCCAATGAAAGGTCACAGAGACAGGGATGTGAAGACAAGGACAGAGATCAGGGTGAGGCATCAACAAGGACAGCCAGTCACTAGGGGATGCTGGGAGACAGTCACAGGGCTGTCTGTCCCTCAGCAGCTCCAGGAGAACTAACCCTGACCACAGCTTGACTTTAGACTTCTGGTCTCCTCAACTGAAGGGGAACAAATTTCTGTCATTCCAAGCCACTGACAGCCAGAGGAAACCAACACTACCACTAAGAGACTGGGGTTTTGTTTTCCCTTCAGTTGCAGAGGCTGGGAGCATCTTGAGCCAGACAGCCCACAGCCTCACAGTGTAAGACTGAGGTGGTCACAAGTAACCTCAAGTCCTCTGCAATGAATGAGGCACAGATGAAGAAGTCTTGGTTTTTCAGCCAAGGAACGATTACAATTAAACAGCTGTGGTGGTAGCCAGAGGATGCTAAGGATTTCAGTGTGAGCCTAAGTTTGGAGGAAAATATTTCCTCTTCCACTTTCTAATTTCTAGATCACCAGCCAGAGTAGAGGACCTTCCCAAAGCACATCTGTTGTGGCTTGTGTTTAGATGTCCCCTCAAAGCCTCATGCAGTCATAGGTGGCTGAATCTAGAGTGTGTGATGCTGGGATTGATTCACGGCACACTGCTAGGATCAAGGGTACTGGGATTAAGGGCATGAGTGCTACCCATCCTAAGTGACTTGGGTAAGACATAAGGGACAGAAAGAGCAGTCATTGTCCCTTGTTGTTTTGCTACTTTCTCTTCACCATGAACTGTTTCTCTTCTGCATCACTTGTCTCCATGCCAATGTGCCTTGGAGCCAGCAGATTTTGAAGAGGAACCTCTACAAACTGTGAATCAAGTGAACCTTTCCTCCCTTAACATTGGGTATCGGATTTTGTCTCAGCTACAAGAGAAAAGGAATTAAGAGGCAGGGAGTTCCACACTTGTTTTTCTCGAGATTGATCCAAGTCTAGCATTACTATTAAGGAGCTCTGCAGACTCCCTTGAATGGCTCAAGTTCTCCATGAACTTACAGGATTCAGGAGCAAAGCCCTGGATGTCTTCTCTCAGCAAGCAGAACCCTGGATGTCTGCTCAGCTGCCTTCCCTAATTTTGTTTTCCTCTGGATCACAGCAGTATTACTGGGCCTCCTTCAGATACTGCTGGTGCAGAGAGCTTTGCAGCTCTGCTCCCTCCACAGGAAGCTCTCTGGGCTCTAGACAGCAGTGAAATCATCCCCTATATAACTTGGTGTCCCAGGTGGTCATTTTCTGATATCTTGCTGGCTAAGACATTATGACAGTGTGAGTCCAAGCATCCATCTACCCATCCATCCCCCATCCACCCATCCACCCACTTACACATCCATCCACATATCCATTCATCCATCCACCCAGTCACTCATCTACCCATCCACTCACCCATCCCCCATCCATCCACCCATTCATCCATCCATCCTTATGGAACCAGCACTGCGCCTCCTCTCCAAGGGTATCTTTTTACCCTGGAAGCCAAAGTGACCCATTATCATATTAAAAAGAGTGTGAAAATACAGGAATATTTGCCTATGATCCTGGAGTAAAAAGAGACAGGGGAAGTTGGTAGATACAGAGAAAATGTCTTCTACCTCTCTATTGAGGGACCCATAGATCAGAGAACTTCTGGTAACAGCAGGGAAGAGCAAAATCAAAAATTATGTATTCATCAGTTCACCCAAATTCACATACTAGATAGACAAATCTAACTTTCCTAACCTTTTAAAATTTCAAGTAGTTATTAATACATTTCTAGTTATAAAGTACACATATTCACTTCAGAAGACTACAATAGCCTTTTGTAACTCTGTGGACTTAACCTGATAAGGAGAAATGACTTAGTAGAAAGAAGCTCAGAAAGGGACTTCCCAGGGAGCCAGGCTGAGAAGAGCGCCCCTAGGCAGCAGCAGAACAGTGGCTGTGCATAGGACTATAGGCCCTCAGCTATGATTCCAGCATCCAGAAATCTCCCAAACCCCAAATCTTTTCTGTTTGGCATCAAAACATATATTTTGCTGTTTTGGTTGATCATTTTTTCATGCCTATATTTTGTAATCCAAACAACTGCTCTGTAGATAATAATAATATGAAATGTATTAACCATTGTTAATCTCATTACTCTGTTTTGAAATTCTGTGTGATTTTTATTCTTTTTTCATTTAAAAAAATACACCTGGCCTGAATTAATGTGTTGCTTACAATCTTTATTTATCTCACTTAGGATGAATATTCATATTTTGCTGCAGAAATAATGATATATTTGACTATGAGGTGCTACTTCAGGCCCAACGGGAGTAATCTACAATAGGCATGTTACATTTCTAAGATTCAAAAAAGTCTCTATAACCCACCTGCCCCAAATTTGGCACAGGAAATCATGAACTTAAAATACTTCAGTCTTTCAGGGACCATCTCTCCCAGTAGGAACTAGGCTAAGAAGTCTCATTTCTTCAAGCTCTTAAGGAGGATATTTTATTTTAACATTGGGACATTTCATGAAACCATTTTTTTCCTATTTTATGAAAAAATAAAAGAAAATCTAATAGCAAGGCCTAAAACTCATGCTATTAAAATGCAAGCTTTTTATCATGTAAACCTGTGCATAATGCTCACTCTTATATCTGAATTCTGCTTACCTGTGGGGAGGCTCCAGGGCAGGGTGAGATTGGACAAAAAGAGGATATGGGAGGGCTTGAAAGTCAGGGATGGAGAGAAGGTTAGGGCATCACTTCACTTTTTTTAGTTCAATGGTAATTTTTTATGGTCACAGAATAGATATGAATATCATTACTGCAACTGAATGGCCATATCAAAATGTCATGAGCCCCATGAGAGAAAGAAGGAAATCTTTAGAGCTGCTAACTGAGAAATTATAGTTACTCCCAGGGAGCCTAACCCCCTTAACAGATAAATGGCACCCAGAAGTTTTAGCCAATGAAACACCTTAAGCCCACAGGTCAGCACTGAAAACCTGCAGGCTGGCTTTGTTTGGACGGCATGGCACCAATACTTACGGCTTTTGTTTTCTATATTATTTGATGTGAAAACCTTGCCACCATTAAAACTTGGAAGTTTCTGCATAAATATCTTGTTACCTGGCCTCTCTGAAAAAATCTAAAAGCCTGGCAACACTGACCAACAATCATGCAAGACCACAATAGGCAGAGCCAGGAACAAGAGGCCTCTCGTTCCAGCACAGCCCTCAAAGTACCTGGATGACTCTGGGACCTTGACAAGGTCCCTATTAGCATTTGGCCACCCCGGGACCTTTGAGGCACATGTTGTGGGTTCTAAGTGGTGACTCACAGGTGTTACACACAACTGCAGACAAGCTGGGGACAGGGTCTTTCTCTACAGAGAATACAAATGTCCTTGTTCCAAAACATGTCAGAGAGGTAATGATGAGAAAAATGGTCCAGATGACTCAAAAAGGGAGCACTGAGCAGAACAAGAAGCCAGTGAAGATTTTTGCAGGAGTAAAAGAGCAGGGTTGAGTAGCGTTGGGTACAGGGAGTCCCAGTTGGAAAGAACCTTAGGGAATAACTAATATAATTGTTTTCACTAAACAACATGTTGCTTTTCTCGCCTGCAGGTACTTGCATCCTTATTTATAGTTTGCCTACTAAGCACAGGTATTTTACATATGTTGTCTTATTTACTCACCAATGCCTCCAATAAAGTAACTCACAATATCCTCTCTTGTTGCCAAGGGGGAAGAAACCTCTCAGAATCCATTTCAGGTTCTCTAGAAGAACAGAATCAATAGAAAAAAATAATTATATATATATATTTACATAAGGGACTTTATGAGGTAGGCTTACAGGACCACAGTGGAAGAGTCCACAGTGGCTGTCTGCATGTGGAGGAGCCAGTAGTGGCTCAGCCTAATAAGATGGAAGCCACAGAATAAGAGGGACCCAGGAGGTAGCCCCAGTCTAACATCAAACACCTAGAAGTCACCAGTATGTGAATCTGTTTGGAAGGCTGAAGAAACTGGAGACTACTGTTCAGAGGCACCAGTAAAGACTGGAGCTCTTCAAAACTGGTCACACTTTCTTTCCCTTTTTATGCCATCACGTTACAAGTCCATTGGTTGGTGCCACTTACATCTGGGGTGGTTCTTCCTCCTTACATTCGCTGCCTTAAGTATCATCCACAGACATGCCCAGAACAGGGCTTTACAAATCAGCTAGGTGTTTCTTAATCCATTCAAGTTGAGATGTAACTAATGGTCACAATGGCATTGGCCAGTTATACTTTAGTAAGAATTTGTCATTTTAGAGGCTTAATGAAGACCTGAAAAAATTTGTACCCAAATGAAAAGAGAAAAATACTCTGAGGAAAGAAGGCACTTCCTGGAACCACTAACATCATAATGACCTTCTTTTGTCAGTAAGTGGCACACACTGACACTTACCAATGTGCCCTGAGAGCCATGCTCAGGAGCCTGGTTTCTCCATTTAACCCTGATTACAGAGTTCACAGCCTCCCAGCAAACAGACAGGCTGGAAAAGGCTTAGGAATTGATTTTTCAAACAGTGCACAAAACTGGTCTCCAAGTACCTACCGCATGAGCTTGGAAAATTCAATTATTAGTATGAATATATGAACATCACTTTGTTGTGATTAGATTTCACTTTAATTTAAATTTTGTCAAAGCCAGAAGGAAACAAAGAAGCAGTCTCACGAAATAAATGAGTCAGTCTCAGTTTTATTTTTCATGTTTGCAAGCTAGGATTATCAGCACATCTTATCAGTCAGGCGGCAAATTACCAAGAACTGCATTAAAAATGTATATAGTCATTTTCATTTTTGAAAGATTCAAGACTATAAATAATTAAATGCATTAGACATCTGTTATTTATGAGCTGAAATGACAGTTTTAATTTAGTTCGTCATTTAGCTGAGCCTGACGTATTGTGACTCCGAAGGAAAACACACAAAATATCTAAAAACGACATCTTTTGCAGCCTGAGGTGACCGTGGGTGCAGATCAAAGCCTGGTTGTTCTCACTTCCACAGGAGGCCTGTCAGGACACAGTCTTCACTGGTGACCTTGTGCTGGAGGCCTCAGGAATTTGGATTGGACAACAAACCAGCTCCACATCTGTGAGCTCAACAGTGCAGACCAGGCAGCTTAGCAGGAACTGTAAACACCACGCAAATTAATTATAGATGCAGAACTGAGTCGCTAGTTGGGATCTAAAGACCACTCCAGGGAAATGCCTGCTCGTTCCTTTCTCCATAGTAGAGGACTGCTGGTGGAGCTTCCCAGAAGTCTTAAAAGCTCATGGATGGATGCTAGCCAGGAAGAGGCAAGAACCAATGCAAGAGTCCTGATTTGGAAGCCAAGGAGTAATGTGTGAATAACAAAGATACCTGCAGGTGCTAACTGCAGTCAAAAAGGGAAGGAGTCTTGTGAAAATCACACACCTTCTCTGTAATAAGAGGCCTTTGGTTCTTGACTCAAAGGAAGTCCAATTTTCTGCAGCTTGCAGCATTCCAGAGCCCCAGTGAATCCTATCATGACCCTAACCTTGGGCTGTGGGGGGGCTCACATCACCTGGGCCTCTGCCAGAGCTTCTGCAGGTCCAAAAGGCTGCATCACCTGCACTCAGCCTGCTGAGGGCCTTGCTGGGGAGTGGAGCGTGTCCAGTCTTGAACACAGGCTATCATTCAAAATGACTGCAGTGTTTAATGTTTGCCACCTGCTTCCCATATGCAGATTTGCTTATTTGCAGTTGCTTGATTTTCAGCAACTTTCCTTGTGAGTTTTTGTATGCTCTAGGACTCCTCAGGGACCAGGGGGAACCAAAACAGAGTCCAGTGAACTCTTAGCCCTAGAAAAGCTTGACAGTCTCATGTGAATGCACACGTCAGGCATCCATGTTTTATTTGGGAAAGGGAGGGCCAGTGTGGTTTTTCTCACCTGCAAAATATAAGCCAGGAGCAGAGTGATGCAGAAATGGTGCACACAAAGTGGCTTCCCTCCTGTGTCTCTCCAAACCCTGTGCTGGGGCCTCTTTGCCACCCTTAAGGGACCTGACCCAAGGTAAGAGAAATCTCAGGACCCCAGGAGCTGAGGGACACATCTGCTGAGCGTGGGGCTGCTCCCGCCCCAACCTTGGGTCTCAGACCCAGAATCTCCAAATTAATTACAGAAGCAGACCTCAGTCTCTAGATCAAATCTAAAGACCACTCTGGGAAAAGCCTGCTCCTGCCTTGTTTCTTACAACAAAAATTCATCCTTCACCAGGTCCTGAGTCCATGCCTTTGTTCCCTGGGCTCCCGGAGAGCAGGAATCGGCTTCCTCTGCCCTGCTGCCTTAGGTCCCCAGAAACTAGCATTTTGTCCTTTAAACCCACTGCCAGTCTGGGGTGATGTGACCACCCCGACTCTTGCCATGACAGTCCTCAGGCTCCAGACATCACCCTCACTCCACCCAGGCCAAGCCAGCCAGCATAACCACCCGTGGCCTCTGCTGGAATTGGCCAGAGCTGGCACCCTCCCTCCCCAGGCTGAGTTCCCACCCCTCCACTGGGCTGCCCTCCTGCTGGGCATCCCAGATCTGATAATAAGGGTTTTGGCTGTTCCCTCTGCTCCATTCAATGGGCTTGACTGACAGATTTTCAGGGATTTCTGACTTCCCCAGCTGCTAATCCTGCTCCTCATCCAGCTCTCTATTCCCTGTTCAAATTAAACTAGGCAGGCGCTGATTCAGCTTGTAATGTGAGGTTAATTACAGAAGTGATAACATTTCTAAATAAAAATAAGCTCCTCCGTTTTAAAAACCCAAGTTAAAATAAACCAGAAGGAACTTGTTCCTGGTTTCAAATCACAATGCTAGTTCCCCACCCTCGTCATTTCATTACCACCAGCCCAGTGGACACACAACCAGCACAGTCACCCAGAGAGAGCCCGCCCCGGAAGGGCTCCTGCTGGGTCTCATGGGGCACTGCTTCTGCGAAGAGCTTCTTCCCTGGGTCTCCTGGGAGAGGGCTGACGCCCGGTGTACCTCTCCCCAGTAACTCCTTTCTGCCCCGGGACACAGAGTGCTCTCCATGCCCCGGGACACAGGGTTCTGGTGGACCAAGGAGCATCAGGAGACTCCAAGTGACAACACGAAGTGCTATTATGTCCAACCCTGAGCACGCAGCAGAGCTTTCAGACCCGACAGGCCATATTGTCCCTTCAATCCAGAGCTTGTTTTGAATTCTTGAAGACAGCGCGGAGCTCTGAGAAACACGGATAACCAAGGAACCCTGGGCTATCACTGCTACCTCTTCCGGCCACGCCTTCCGGGGCAGAAGTGACATAAGGAAGGTGGGCTGGAGCTCAGAGCCAGCCAGCATGCCCGAGGCCAGGGATCCACCCCAGTGCCCTCACCACACTAATATAGAAGAGGAAAGAAAAGGAAAGAAGTATCCTCTTATAGGAGAAACTCAAAGCATAAATAAATTAAGAGCAAAGTAAAAGACAGAAATAGGAAAGGAGAGAAATCTTCCCCATATGGGAGAAGGAACAAGAGCTGAAGGAGGAGATAAATGAGAGAAGGGAAAGGAAGTAAGATGTGTTACCTGCGTGTGCTGACTCCCCTCGGTGAGTGTAGTCATTCTGCACTGCATACCTGTACTAAAACAATTTTTCAAAAATAAAGAAATGGGAAGCCTGGGATTTAGTTCAGCAGCACAGCACCTGCCTGGCAAGCGTGAGGTTGTGAGTTCGAGTCCCATCCTGGGAAAAAAAAAAGTGTCACTTTGGTGATTTGGCATCTGAATTGAATGTGCTGACCTTTGTGTTCAAAGAAAGCATTTCACTGTACAAAGTGAACTATAAATTCCAGCTAATTATTTAAAATTTCAATTATTCTTTATTTTGAAACAGCAAATTACCATGACGAGTCATGAGAGAAACCATGCAGGGAGAAAAAGCCTACAGCTGAGTACTTGAACATCCCTTTCCCTGCTCTCTGAATGTGGACTCTGCCTGTTTTGTGTTGCAGGAGGCACCATGAATTATACAGCTGGGAGCAGCCACTTAGGAGCACAGGCACAGCCTCTAGGGGCAGCCCAACCTGGCAGGAAGGTGACCAGCTGACCACAAGTCCCTACATGGCTCACTCTGGTGAGCACTGTTTTGGTCACTGAGTCTTAAACTTCAAGCCATCGATGCTGAGGCTCACAGCACATCCAGCCCTTCCCCACCCCCAGGGTACACCTGCTTACCCTCCACCTCTGATAGATAGCTCCACAACCTCGCTCCAGAGCTCTGCCTCCCTTCTGCCCACCTTCACCAGCATCCAAGCAACAGGGCTGGATCTTGGCGGTGGGAGCTCCCATTTGGTTCAGTTCCCTCTGGAGTTTCCTGTGGACAGGGACATGCTGCCGGGCTCCCTGTCAGGCTGCTGGCCCAGTGCCTTGGCTCAGGGGTCACCGCCTTGCTTCATGGACACAAGCCTGAACCCCTTAACATATTGTCTTTGCTGGAACCAAAGTCCACTTGTTCAAGAAGGCTTCTGCCTGGGGCTCTCCCCATCTCTCCATTCCAAACATATAAGGATATTTTACATTTAGGGTTCCATCCCCCTACAGAACTGGTGGGGCTGGTTTGGCCACACTGAGGAGCCACTCTGAGGGGCAGAGCTGAGACAGGGAGACATGGCCATAATGGCTACTTGAGCTCACCGCCTGGTTCCACTTCACACATAGCTCTGAGTAAATTACTGAGGGAGTTGCTGAGGTGATTTACCCAGAATCCCACTTTCTCCCTAGGGAGAGCAGAAATACTGGGTCCAATCCTGCCATCTCTGGCATTACTCACTCCTGTGTTTCTGCCACTCTCACACTGGTCTTGAGGTGCCTCAGACTACACAAGATCAGAGATTCCTCTGCTTCTGCTCTTCTGGCTTCTCCTTTTCCCTGAGCACAAGAGGTTTCAGCTTCTTCCTGCCCTTTTGTGCTGAGGAGACTTCACAAGGTAAGCTCCTCCCTCCAGCCCAAGCCTCGTGTGTCATCTGTGTGTGGCCAGAAGTCCCATCCCACCAGGCCACCCAGGCCATGTCGAGCGTCTCTGCCCTCCCAACTCCTCTCCAGTGGTCAGTTTGGGAGCTAGCTGGTCCCTCACTGCCTCCCAAGTCACTGGCTGGGGAAGAAAAGAGAAGTGTGGTCAAGAGGGCCAGGGTCGGCTTAGAGGGCAGAGAGAGTGCAGACCATCTTAGGGGCAAAACCCGTAGGGCACCTCCTTCCCTAGGAGCCTGCAGTTGAAAATGCAAAACAGTGTGGGTAGAAAGGTCACAAGGGAGACAATGTTCTCCTTATTATTCCTTCTCCTTAACTCACTACCAACCACACACACACACACTCGGGACTCACATGTTCCGTATTTGTCTCTAAAATTTTACCTCCCCCACATCTTCTACTCCTTTCCCAGCCTGTCTCCCTCCTTCCTTTTGAGTGACGTTTAGGATGATTTTAATAGAACTGAAGTTCATGTGCTCTTCATTTTGAGAGGAAGTAGTGAAACACCTAAGATAATTAATTTGTAGACACTGGGGGAAATAAAAGCACTGACCTAGTCTACTAGGATCCACTGTCTTCTTTGGAATAGAATTTATATTTTAGAGCAGGTTCAGGTTCACAACAAAATCGAGTGGGGAATATAGAGATCTCCCATATACGCCTGTAGAATCATATGTTCTTATCCTTAAACTCCAACTCATCTATCACGTCTCCAACCTGGAGCCTTGTAATATCTCACTAGTCTCCCATCCTCAGCCTTTGCTGCCTCTGCTATCCTGTCTTCAGTCCTTGACCCCTTCTGCTGTCTTCAGGCCATCAGGAAAACACAGGTGCGGTCCCAACACCTCCCCTCTGCTCCCAGAGCTTCCAAGCACCCACAGCCTGGGGGTTCTCCTCACTTGGGGGTTCTCCTGGGGGTTCCCTTGTTCACTTGGGCAGCTCTGTGGGGGAGAAGGGGAGGAAAAGGGGTTCCACAGATCACTGCAAAACCTCCTGACTGTCACAAACCTACTGTCACTGCCTGCCATCTCTACCACCAAGAACTCCTCCCGGACCATTGATGTTTTGAAATGGCTTCTTACTTCCTTTTCTGTAGGAATTCCCCTTCCCCTTACCCCACTCCAACATGCCCAACCGACCACTGGTCACCAGAAAAAAGGTTTTCATTTATTTCTCTTGCAGCAGAGTAATGTAACTTCTTTCCCATCTCTGTAGCTCCTTGGAACACCCAGAGGCTGATCTCCCTCATATGAATCACTGAAGGCCTGGAAGCATACCCCCAAACAAGGTCTCCTCAAAAAGCCTAGGGCAGGGCTGATCCTGCTCCTGAGAAACACAGGGACCTACCCAGAGGTCCTGATGAAGGAGCCACACAACGCATTGACCAAAGGAAAGAAAAAGCTGTCATTGGGAATCGCCAGACATCCCAGAGCCATGCACGGAGCCAGCCCCGATAATGGCAAGGACATCAACACCAAGCAAACACCCAGGGGCCATGAAAGTGTGGTTTATTCCCTTTGGGCATACTGGCCACTGGGACCCAGAGCTCTGTGTTCTCTGTTAGGCTCCACCCTAGACCTCAGGATGTTCCCGGGGGGCTTCAGCATCAAATGCTCCTCTTTCTTGAGTTCTACACACAGATCGGGCCTTTCACATATCTCCTCTGACTGAGCAAATCACAACCATCCATCGCGTACTGGATGAAACATAGCTTTGGAGGAAGAAAGGGGGGTGCTCTGTGTCCCAGGCTAGCGAGTGATGGTGCTGAACCTGAAACTCAGCTCCATCCGACCTCCACAGCTTTGCTTCTCTACTCCTCTTTCCCATGATGCCTCAGGTTTGTTTAGCAGATTGACTTGAAGAAGGTAAAATGTTTGACCACTCTCTTTACATAACTCCCCACCCTGTGGGCCATTGACAAGTTCTAGTTGAAGTTTAGAACTAATATCGGAAGCAGTCGTTGGATGTGGACGCTACTGCAACAGCCCTGACCCCCTGAGTGTCCAAGTACCTGCTCTTCTTATAACTGCGCAAGGAAAAGTCTGGAAGAGATTCCTTCCAAGTGACTGGGTGGACAGAGCTCAAATCACAGGAAACGCTGAGTGTCCCAAAGCCCCCAGGATCTGTGGGAATTCATGAGCTCTCACAAAGAACTTACATGAGTTCCAGGTCTTAACTTACATGAGTTCAAAACTATGAAGACTAAGCTGATGGTGTAGGTAATCTATTAACATCTGTGGCTCTGGATGAAATTCATTATCCTTGAAATGTTTCTAACACTCATCTGTAAACATTTTATCACCTCGGCACTCCAGGGACACAAGGCCAGGGCTGATGCTGAGAAGGTTTTCGGCCATCAGAATCTCATCAGTGCTAATTACAAAACAGTAAAGCTGTCCAAAGACGGATTCACACCTGTCGCAAAGAATATCCTAAACAGCAGCTTGCGGTTCTACAAACTCTTGGAAAGGAAGAACACAGCAGAATATTCCACTCTAGGAGATAAGCCTTTCAACAACTGCCCTTCAGTGAAGATATTGATTATCTGCAGTTATATCAGCATTGATACAAAATTCAGCAGCTTAGGAAAAGACACAGTGAGTGGGAGACAGAGGAAGGAGAACTGCAAGTTCTATCCCGGCCTCTAATTCTTAGCAACTCAGTTAGGTCCTGCTGGAAAAAACAATAAAGGCTCGGAAACCGGGAAGGCCTTAGGTTCAATCTCCAACACCACAAAGTCACACACATGCACATACACACACACACACACACACACACACACTTACCAGCTCACAGTTTCTGTGGGTCAGGAATCCCAGAGCCGCTCATCTGAGTCCTGTACCCGGGATCTCCCACAGGGCTGCTGTCATTGCAAAGCTCAAGAAGGAGGGGTCTGCTTCCAAGCTCACTCGCATGGTGGTTGGCAGAACTCAGTCCCTTGAGGGTTGCTGGACTATGCTTTTGGTTCCTTGCTGACTGCTGGCTGGTGGCTCCTCATGGTTGTTCGCTATGCCAGCCCCTCCATGGGGCAGTTTATAGGCTGCCACCTGGCTTCCCTCAGAGTGCAAGAGCAGGAGGGCAAGAAGGGCAAATGAGGCAGGAAGCCAGAGACTGCTGCACCCACTGCTCCCTCAGAAGCGCCACCTCACCACTCTGAAAGGTCTCTGGACTAGACACAAGGCCCAGCACACAGTCCAAGACCACACAGAGGAAGGATACCAGCAGTCATTTGAGGCTGACTGGGGCTGCCCTGGAAGATGCCTACCTCAGTGCCATCGGGCTCCGTGCAGCAGAAGCCTTCGGGGCCACAGCATCAGGCCTCACCGATGACCCTTCCCACGTGCTCTCCACCCACCGTGGTCCCTGCTCAGTACCCTGCAATGGGCTGGTGCACTCAGAGAACTGGTTCACAGGAGGGGCCTTTGCTTCTGCAGGTGACTCTACTTTTCAGTATCCTCCGATGAGCCTCTGCTTCATCCTAACAGAGTAATAAACACAAACATTTAGGGTAGGCAAACAAAAATAGAGTGATAATTTTTCCATCTTTTCCAATATAGACTAGGTAAGTAATGTTCGTAAAGAATGAAACTCACAAAGGAAACACAAATAGGAGGAGGAGGAGGAGAGGAAAGGAAGAGGGGAAAGAAAAAAGAGAAAGAAAGCAAGAAAACAAGAAAGCAGGAAAGCAAGAAAGCTAGAAAGAGAAAGAAAGAAAGAAAGAAAAGAAAGACAACAGAAGGACACAGAGAGGGAAGAAAGAAAAACCTTTAAGCATCAGATATGAGATTCGAGTTCCTATGTTGCTTAGACCAGAACCTCACTGTGTGGCCCTTGGCGTACTCCTTAGCTTCTGATCACCTGCTGAATGAAGAAGGAGGGAGATGCAGAATAAGGAGGAGGAGGAGAAGAGGAAGAACAACTAGTCCAACCTCAGCGGCTTCCTTCCAGCTCCTTCCAAGAAGAGGTTCTCACAAAAATCCCTTGGGGCATCATGGTCACGAGACACCTTTGCCCTGTTTCAGCAACCTCCAGAGCATCCTGGCACCCTGGCCAGCTGGGCTTTCTGCGCCTGTATTTCACCTCCCAGGGAAGCCAGACTGTCTAGGATCTGTCCATTTACCAGGATATTTTTAAGCCAGTTCACTGTTACTCAGATTGATGATCCAGACTCGATTCATGGATCCCAGACAGCGAGTGGGAGGCTGAGATATCCCTGGGCAGGGAACGCTCTGAAAAGCCCCTCGCAATCTCATCGCTCCAGAGCCTCACACATAAAACATTTGATAGCGATGATTTAACCCATCCAACCTGAAACAAATCGTCCTCGTTAGGCAGCACCTATAGACCATCCACTAAGCAGATGGTGGGAATCAGGCTCTAATGACCTTCAGAGGAGCTGCCAGCAGCGACGGCCCCTCAGCACTTTTTTCAGGCTCACAGGAGTATTCTGTGTCTGTTGTCTAATATGCCAAGAATCAAAGGTCTTTGACAGCATATTAGCAACTCAGCTATGGTAATAACCCATTTGGTGTCCTGTGTCTCAAACCAGTACTCTTCCTAATTGTTCTTCAGCCCCAAATTTTTGCCATTCATCTGTCATGGCTACTGTGTGTGTAAGACGCCAAAACTTGGCAGTGAGTATTAAATGCTCCCCCAGTAAAAGCCGAACCCTTGAATTGCCAGTGTATGTAGCGTATGTAGAATCCTTTGTGTCTGTATCACAACTTTGGGGTGGGACAGGTCACACTGAATTGTCCAGTGGTGTTTCAGAAAAACATATTCTAAGAAAACAGGTCACCAAGGGCAGGAGATGCAAAGAGACCTAAGAAAGAGGCGAGCAAATCTAGGACTGCACAAAGTGCAGATTTTTAGAGACCTACCAACAGAGCGTGTCTCAGATGGCTGCAAGATAGGAGTATTTCTACACCTCAAGGAAGTAGGAAGGGGTTTGTGTGTTGAGCTGAGGTTTGGATGATGACCTGCAGTCATCCAGAATACACCTGAGAGTTCTCAAGAAAAAAAAACTAGTTCTGCCTTGGACATCAGTTCATCAGCCTGGGCTTCGATCTGTTGTGAAGGGCTCAGTAAATGTTTTAATGACTTCCCAGACCCATTAGTGTCTGGAACATGTACCAGGGTCTCCTGGCAGGCAAGATGATGGGGGAAACCAAGATGGCTGCAGTGGTGTCAACTGGGTCCCTAAAATGACAAATTAACAAACTCCTCTCTATACTCCCAACCATTTCCAGATGTCCTTCAAGGACCTGTTTTACCAAAGCATCAAAGCAATGGCTGGTGCTTTAAAATTCCACCTGATTAGGACTCCTCTCCTAGGTCCCCAGCGCCTGCCCTCACTGAGCTTTCTCTCTGTCTCCATGTAGATACTGGTCCCATTCTCTCCTCAGCTGGTCCTTTATAGCCTGGTTGATCCCCAAGGATCAGCCACTAAAGATCCATCACCACTCAACTGGGCCTCGACTAATCTCCTGGAGCTGGACTGCTCTTGTCCATCCACCCATGGAGACCCCACTTGGTCAGAGAGTCATCACTGATGGGGGAAGATTCCTGGCCACATCAGGCAAAGTCAGAATGCTCAGCCATATCAGGTGCAAAGCGCTGGGTTCAGAGTTCTTCCTACCCCACAGCTGCACCCCATCTTTTCACTCCACCCACCTTTGGCCCTACTGGTGTTGTCACAAGACGACCTCAGCTCCTATTTCACAGAGAATTATTGTAATCCCTATTCCAGGCCTCCTCACAATCCAGAAAATTGTACTTGTAATCCCACTGAAATGTTATGGAATCCCAGCGAATAATTCCAATCTGTCACCTCTAATGAAAGCCATGGTGAGAGTAAAGGCACTAAGATATTCAAAGTTATGGGCAGCCAAGGGGTTCTAAGACTGATCCAAGTGAGGTTATACCAACAAGGCCTTGATCTAAGGCCTCTCCCAGAATTTATTATCTTGTGAAGAAGGGAGTGGTTCAAGGGTGAGTGACAGGGAGGATGGCAGGAGCTGTGCGAGTAACCTGAGCTGGGTAGCCAGTGGAGAGAAAAGCAGCTTTGCAAAATGCAGGGTGAAAGATAAGCAGAAGGATCAGTCTGCATAACTCCATTGGGGTAGCATTTGAGTGATTTAGGAGGCTGTTGCCTCAGATTCTGACATGTAAACTTGTGTACCCTGGGGAGTCATAGTCCCTTATTTCAGGCTCATACGCAGCTAATAGCCCTGGAGCTGTGTGGCTCTGCCATCCTGCTGCGTTCAACCATTCTACAGGGAACACAATTTAAGGAAACAGGAAGTTGTCAGTTGGCCTCCAAGACTGCTTACCAGGACCTCAGTTTGCCTTGTTTGCATTGCTGAGAGCCAGCTGAAGGGAACAGGAAACATCACAGCCAGCTCTGGACATATCAGTGCAAGGAGACAAGGCCCTTGTCTTGTCTAAGGTAACTCATGCTGAAGCAACTGTTCTGCATTCAGGGGGAGCCACTCAGATTGTCTCCCACGGAGAAGAGCTTTCTCCTTCTTCCATGTCCACCCCGACCTTTCCTCACCTCCTGGCCATCTCTTCCTTCCATGTTTGTACCCAGGTGACTTTCCTATGTAGCTTTTACCTGAGATGTGTGCACAGTTTGTCTTACCACTGCTTTGATCCAACTCCAGCCCCGGCTGCTGTATCAGTTCTAGAGCAGCTGATATATCCTTACTCCAGAAGGGAAACACTGGAAAATGCAAGCTTCTCTGCAATGGAAGCTTCTATGCATGGGCCTCTTTGACCTGGAATCCCCCAGGGTGGGGGCCCAGACGCACAGAGGGAGCCGGTAATAGACAGATGACATTTTGCCATTCTTGAGTGTTTGTGTTCTAGGGGACTATTCTGGGTTTTCTACACAGTTTCTGATTTAGCTCTTGTTGCTGGAAATGTTAGTGTGCTGATTCATGCTAATTTAAATTTCTCTTTCCTTTTTTGACTTTTTGATTACCTATCCCTCTAAATTGAAGCTCCTTTATTTTTCTTTTTAAATATTTTCCTCCTAATCCTCTTTGTCAAAGTACTAACACTCAAAAAAGCATTCTTAATTCTTTCTTATACTTTAGCTTCAAACCCATCTACTCTTAAGTTTTTAACATTTTTTTCCTGTGGGTTTCTGTCTGTTATCCTCTTAATCTTTTCTCTCTTGCACTTTAATGTATTTAACCTTTTACCTTGTTAGTTTATATTATTTTTTCTTTTATCATAAGCTGATTATCTTGCCACTGTTTTTTAAATTCAGAATTTTTATTTTGCTCTTAAATTTTATTTATACCTCCCTAGCTTTATTCTTTAACTTTAATCTGATGTTAGCTCTGGTTTTCAATCCCTCCCATTTTCTTTTAGTGACTCCCCTCTCCCACTTCCTTTATCTTGCATATATTTATCTCTCACTATTATTTTACATCTTAATTTATTTTCCTCTACTGGGCTTTTACTCTCTCGTTATAATGTTTATTCTGCTCTTGTTCTTTTCACTTTCCCTTACCAAGTCTCAGAGTTTTATTTTTAATCTTCTCTTCTACTGTGCTGTTGTTATTTTGCTTATCTTTTCTGTCCTTTTCTTCTCCTGCCTTTTTTGAGTGAACTGGTTGAACAATCCCTAGAGAGAGAGAGACCCCACTTCCTCTGGCAGAGCACAGGAAGCCTCCCTCTCAGGGATTCTTGCTCCAGCCCCACATCCCATGAGGCGGGGGCACCCCAGCCCTTTGAAGGACACTGGAGAGACCTTAGGGTCCACGGCAAGCCCCTCCAAGTACCTGCTGGTGGAGAGTGGGCAGAGCTGTTCCCTGAAGGGCGTGGTTTCCTGGTGTCTCCCGTTATCTTGCTGGTATATTTTTAAATTCAGGTTTGAGGAGCTTCGTGCAGTTTGGGGTCTGTCCCAAGCCTCGACCTACATTTGAGCACATTAAAAGAAAAAGCTCAGTGAAATCAAATAACAAGCGTTCGCAGAGATGCTGCTTGTTCCATATTTTTCAGCCCTCACAGGAGGAACATTTCCCAAGCTCAGCATCAGGAGTGGGATCTGGATTACTGGTCCATCTCCTCATACACTGCTCCTGCTCCCTCCTGAGTGGGCTACAGACATCTGGACCCTAAATGGGTAGCAGGGCCTGACCACTTCCCCGGGGTTACCCAATTGGGACACTAACCTCCCACCTTACTGCATCCTGCCTCTCTTGCCCGCAGTTCTCCAACTTCCTTATTTTATTGTCTTTGTGGTGTCACAGGTACTTTAAAGCCCCCTAAATCCCCTTGGAAACAAGGTCAGTCTCCTGCCTGACCACAGGCAAAGTCCTCATGCACTCCCTCCTTCACCCTCCCCTCCATGAAATAGAGATGATGGACTCCAGCTCCCAGGTGACAGTGAGGATGGAGCAAAATCCTGCACTTCAGGCCCACAGCACAGCGCCTGATTCACACCCCATGCACAGTGACAA